AATAGGTGGGTAGATGAATGGGTGCATGAATGCATGCACACAGGGGTTCAATATTGGTGAATGTACCCAAAGTGTATGAGTCGACCGTAGATGGATGGATGGAAGAATACGGAGTGGACCACTGTTGGCTACATTCGTATTTACGACTTAATTGAACAGACGCTGTTACTAATCATTTTCTGTGACCTATTCTTTCACCCTACCATGGGCGTTTAATGCACTGTTAAGCGCTACTGAGAGAAGTATAGTCTATAATTTTATTCCCGACGGGCGTCGCAGTCAAAAAAGATGTAATTAGCTTTCCCATACAATTGCGCAAGTCGGAAAAAGTTTAGGGAACATAATACGTTTGTTTCAGCAGTCTAGTAATTACCAAACTCTGTTCGACAAGATGGTAGGCAAAAATACTGGTGGTGGTGAGTGCAATAGTGTGTGTGGGTGAACAAGTTTTCGTATCATCGAAGGTGTAAACCCCGAAAGCATGGAGAACTACTCGTGTCTGCGGAAGACTTGACTATATTGCGGCGGGGCATGAAGATGATATGCTCAACCACTCACCACTGGAAAGGTGTAAAGGCAACTTTAAGTGCGCCTGTCAGTAAAGACCTCGACTGTGATTATCCTAATTCCACCTTGCAGAAAAGCAGGAATTCATCACTGTGTACACTTACTCAGCGCGTGAAATGCATGTCTAATTCTTGACACCGTGTGATGAAATTGAAAAGCAAGCGACAATTTTTTGTAGAAACAGTAAAACCAAACAGTGGTAAACATTTTTGACTTGAAAACGTTAGAGCATGCAAGCTCTTTGCTGCTGATAACCTCTTTTTTTGCCATTTAAAGTCAAAAGTTTCAGTAATTTGTAAACTCGGGTAGTAATTATGCCTCTATGTTGTGCTCAAACAAATCTATTTCCTAGAATTGGATATTATAAAGGCAATAAACTCACGCGGCAGTTCCAAGACTCCTATCCTCTTCTTCCTCCTCCTCCGCCTCATTCGTCTGACCATTCAGAACTGGAGAGACTTCCCTCATTTCGACACACTCCATGGAGTCATCTACAATGCGGCGATAACCGAGAAGTTTTACATCACTGCTGCCTCCGCCATTCCCAACCTTACTGCTACAGCCAACGCCAGCGACTTCACTGCGAACAACAGTCTTATAGAGGCGTCCAAGGTTGAGACGGCTTCGACGACGCCGTTGGTCCTGAAGGACGAAGTGTTGTCCGCGATGCAGGACTAGACTGCGGTAGTTGAGTGAAGAGGAGCAAATGAGAAGGTCCGCAATTGCAGGATCCTCTGTCAAAGAGACGGGCCCGGAGAGCACAGAACGAGGACGTGACCCTGAGAATTATTGTAATACGAGTAATGTTTATCGCTAGGACTTTTGCTACCCGAACAGCAACATAGCAGCCGATGCATTTGAATTCCTATCATTATCATCCAAACATTATTCCTCCCAAAAACCACCTTAGGCATACCTTTTTGTGACATTATTCCACACCACGAAAGGCAATCACGGCGCTAAGAATTAGCATAACCGACCTAAGTTTGTGACTGTTCCATTCCTAGCAATTAACGTATCAATTTTCTTCGAAGTCTTTCGGGACTCATGGTTGCGGGTAAAGCCAATAATCACCAATCTCATGCCACTGAATTTTATGCAAGTGCAACCAGGAGCACCGAAGACAAAAGTCAACGTGTTTTACAGTCTTGGTAGCATTCTATATCATCCGGCGGCATTGTTAATAGCACCATGCACCGTTTAGGCCCTCTTCTACAGCTTAAAATCAAGAGATGTTAAAGACGGCTGTCAAGTCTTGAGTCAAGAAAGTTGCTCAGGGGAAGCATTACATGTTTTGCCAAGACTTGACTCCTTCACACAGCCCGCATGACCTAGGAACGAATGATGAAAATCTCGATAGAAATTCCCTTCATAGCTCCCGTGGTTCGAGGCTCGTAGACACTGGAACATTGTTGAGAGGGTTACCAAACAGCATGCCCACAAAAGCGAAGGTTCATTGACGATTACTTTTAAAGAGGAAATCAAGATCAACTGAAAATGGATTTGGTTACTTTAGATTTCACATCACAGTTGATAGGTGTTTTATTGGAAAAAATGTGCCCCAAAATAGCTATAAGTGGGTAATAATAAGATGGGAACTATGGCAAGGTAGTAGCGATGAAAGATGTTAGAACACAAAGTGCACATCGCTTGGCAACTGAATTTCAAATGTAGGACGGCCAAAGAAGTTACAATATACTGATATGATAAAAGAGCAAATATTTTTGTTGTTCATTTTAAGATCAATTAAGGCCCATACCTGGGAGGTGATTTAGGCCAGTGTGAATGCAGCCGTCGTCCAGACTGTACCTAACGGGAGTTGTGGCGGTCCCGGAAATAGTATCCTCGGTTGTGGATTGAACTGTCCCGTTCCTTTGAGCCTAGTGGGAAGAAATGGAACAAAAATGGCATTGGAATTTATATGAATTTGATGAGGTGGTTTAGGTAAGCATGAAATGTCCCAGTTAGAGCAACGTAATGGGAGGATGGAGAAGTTGGATTAAACTATAAGCCAAGGTAGAAGAAGGGGTGAGCGAATGGGTGGATAGATTAGGCAAATGGTCCCGTGACCGATGAATGCAGTTAGAATGGACGCACAGATACAGAACCGATGGATTCGGTATGTGTGGAAGAGTTGTCCGGTGGATAATCCTAGGATAGGTGAGTCCTCGGATTAATACAAATTTAAGTGATGGATGAATTCATGAATCTGTAGACAAGCTGCCATAACCACCGCATTTCGATCCGCCAAAGTGAGTTATTCAAAAGCACTCAGCTTGACCCAGCAAGCAGTGAGAAATGCCTATTTCCTCAATGTCATTCTTCGTAGCCCTACGAATGATAGCAAGATTGTCGCTGTTCGTTTTGACTAATAACTACGCCCCTTCCTGTTTGATTAATATTACATTGCATCGTGCAACCCTCCCATTAGCTGTTTAGATTCACATCTATCCCATCATTTGTGTCATTTCCTTCGCCTATTTCACCTTGTCTGTGGATAATATAACCACCCAAGTAAACCGCAGTTCCCACTTACACACCGACCGCATTCACTCGTATACGCTAATTGACCAAGAAAGTCTAATCAAAAGGCGACGAGTAGCGCGTTAAATTTGTCTGGTAACATGTTGAGCTCACACAGCAAAAATGAAATTTAGCTCACAATCGCCCTAAGCCGTGAAAAGTCCGTGGCTTAAGCCGCGCCGAATCGATGTGAGAATTTCCAGAGTGCTAGCGCGTCTATGGCATGATAAAACACATTGGGGGTAGTCACACTTTTGGGCCGGCATAGCATTTGACTTCACATTTGACTGTGGATATTCAACACCACGTGAGCAAACTCTGCACACTTCGTGCGATTCATTCAAAAGACCATATTAACAAAGGAAAGTGAACTTTAAACCTTAACTAACATATTTGCGCAAATCCGGTGATCTAAACCACTTGATAAGAAGTATGTGTAGTGATCTTTTCAGCACAGCTAGACCGCCGTACGTTACGGAGTAAACAGTTTGAAGTACCCTTTCTATGTGCCAGCGACGCGTAAAGCAGGATAGGTGCTTACCACGTGGGTGTTCTACTCAGTGGTAAGGTTGCGGTGGAGTGATAAAATATGTGCAGACAAAGTCGAACAACTTTCAGCTTTCACGACTGGCATTAACATATTGCTACGCTAGCCTATCAGTCCCTCCGCGTGTCGACGGTAAAGCTACCTCTCGGAGATCCAAAACAGAAAGGCCAAAACCTTGATCAGCTGTTTGGCAAATACCCTCACAGACGGTAACAAAGCCGAACAGACAAAACCTCCCTGAGGAACCTCTGAGCAGCCACTATATAACGTGCACTTAAGTTTTTGGGCAAATATTTCTATGAAAAGCGATTTTGAAAAGGGAGAGAACAAATGAGTCCCTCAAGATCTGCAAAACCCTCGGATATAATGATTTTATATTTATCTAACTGAACATTTAGCTTCATAGGTCCTTCGATCTCACCAGTTTGTGCCTCCAATTCGGCAGCATGGTATTCAAGGCAAGATCTTGGTTCTTCTGTACGTCAACAACGAAGCCTCTTCTGTAGAAGCATGGGTTATCGCGACTTCACGGAAGGCTCAAGACGCAAAATTGGTGGCAGTGATGGGATTCGTGCAATTCCAATTATAATGGCTAAGAGGCCATTTCGAAGGTAGTGCTCAAGGTTGGACGATATCTTTCAGCGAGCATGCTCTGCGTCAGTTGCATTCCAAAGCAACATTTCCCCAAAAGCAGCAATAGAAAAAGCAATATCCTATAGCCACCCTCGACATAAGTCTTCTGTTTCGGGAATATACAGTAAAAAATTAGCAAAAAATTGACC